ATTGCACGATATTCAGCTTCAGCAGAAGAACGAGAGACATTAGTTTGTTTCTTAGTGCGCCAGGAGAGGGGACTATCACCCAACTTGATGATGAAACCAGTAGTGGAACGTCGTGTGAGTGGACAACTAGCCCAGTCAGAGTCACAAAAAGCAGATATCTGAAAACTACAAGAGGATGAGAAGAAGAGATCATAACCAGGAGTAGTTTTCAAATATCGGAGTAAATGATGAGCAGCATGAAGATGAGGCTGGCGAGGAGTGTGCATGAATTGACTCAAAATATTGACGGTAAAAGCAATGTCCGGACGAGAGATGGTCAAGTAGATCAGACGACCAACCAGTCGTCGATATGAGCCAGGATCATCCATAAGGTCACCATCCGAGTCAGTAAGCTTACAATGTTGTTCCATGGGAATATGGGTAGGGCGAGAGCTGAGTTGACCAGAATCCGAGAGAATGTCCAGAATATATTTTCTTTGATTGATGAATATGCCCTTAGGGGATCGAGCAACTTCAATCCCTAGAAAATATTTTAGATCACCAAGGTCTTTGATTTTGAATGTCTGAGCAAGATGCTGTTTGACAGAGTTGATGGCAGAGATGTCATTGCCAGCTACGAGAATATCATCAACATAAATGAGAATTGCTGTAAACATTGGGCCCTTAGTCTGAGTGAAAAGACTATGATCAGATGCAGATTGATGAAAACCAGCAAGAATGAGAGTATGAGACAACTTCGAGAACCATTAACGGGAGGCTTGTTTGAGACCATATAAAGATTTGTGGAGACGACAGACGCGTGTCTCCCCCTGAGAGCAATATCCTGGCGGTGGTCGCATAAATACTTCCTCATCAAGATCACCATGGAGGAAGGCATTGTGTACATCTAACTGCTGAATAATCCAATGTTTGGCCGCAGCAATAGCAAGGAGACAACGAACAGTAACAAGTTTAGCCACGGGAGTAAATGTGTCAGTATAGTCAAGCCCTTCTACCTGAGTAAATCCCTTGGCAACTAAACGAGCTTTAT